TCGCATAATTGGTATGAAACTTACCGCGCCATGCCGATCATCACAAACGATTTGTAAGCAGCGATTCATTCTAAAAGATTTTCCATGTAAAATCGGGTCTGGGAGGGAGGAAGTCTGCTCCATAAAATCAGGTGCGCATTTGAATCAAATGCTGGAGTTTATGGCTTGATAGTTACCCAAGGAGGTTAACCGTGAATTCCATCTCTTAATAATCGACTATCTACGTAATCATTCCCTTTTAGCTATAGTCTTGCGTAAAAGTAGATTTGTTGCTCACTTGTTGAAGTTCATGGTTTGCGATTCACCTGTAAAACAAATCCGCGACTTTGTAAAAATTCTGATTACCACTTTGGCGGGTTTAAAGTTGCGTATCATGCTTGATGCACCGTTTTCAAAAGTTCCATTCAGCAAACCGGCTCCTGCTCTTGTACAGTTTACCTTCAAGCTGATATGGTGCTGTAGCCGGAATTCTGGTTCGAGACCTTTGTTGAACTCGTTCTATGATTTTTGTGACAAACAAAGATACGCGCACACACATACGTTTCCCACCTTCACAAGTGGTTTTTCCGCTTATTCCAACGCTATGAATTGCTTTCGTCCGAAGGCGTCTGTTAGTGGCATTAAATCCACCTACAACTCTCAAATTTGCCCGAACACTGCTTTTAGGGAAAATGGACCGCAGATTTTGAACGAAACCTAGAAGGAGAAAAGATTGAATTTTCAACTGAAATTGCTTTGAAGAACAGTGAAAAGTAAGTAAAAATAACGCGGCAGTCTGGCTACATTCTTAGAAAAGAGGAAAGTGAAAGTGACTAGCACCAATTTACGAAACAAGACGAAAAAACTAACTAGATCTGGAAACGTTCAGCGTTTGCCCTATTACACAAATTTTCGCATTTTTTTGAAATTTTTTGAAATGGCAGCTTTTTCCACATTGACACCATATGTTTCAAGTTTCTACCGTATTTCTACAGTAATAAAGAGCGGTCGGTGATTCTTTCTATACTGTAACTCTAAGTTGAAGCCAGCTCTACAAAACGGTAGCTGAAGCAAGGCAAAAAACTTCTTGGGGAGAGAGATATTGAGGATCAAACAGTGTATACATACTTTTGAGACACCCTGTATACAGTGCTGGCCACAATTATAAAAACACTCTTGGTGCAAAAGTTTTGTTAGTTTTTTCAATCCATTGGCAAACAGGGTAAGATGAAGATAAACAAACGCTTCAACATGTATCCAATGCAGAACTTTTTCCTCTTTCCAGCTGCTAAACTCGCGTTGTGTTTCGTTGAGAGAATGACGAGTTATTCGCCGGAAATTACAACCACGTGTTTCTACCATGTCCAACTTTCACTAATTTTTGAAATTTTTTATGAGATTTTCGGAGGAGCCTCAATAACCACCAGATATGGCAAACCTTTTGCCAACAAATGCAATTTTTTTCTTTTTTTCAGCTGCTTTTCAAATTTTTGGTGAATAATTTTCTAAAAGACTTGTGTTTTGGAAAAATCGCTTAACCTTTATTGCACCAAACACTGAAAAACCTACAGAATACTGAGGTTTCACACTCGATTATTACTGCCGCTACCATTACAAATTAAATGAGCGGTTTTCGCTTCAATTTATGAAGATATTGAAACATAGGTTACGTCAGTGCGCACTCATGAGTTTGAGAAATACTGCGATTTTCCTTACAAATTTCGTATAAATTCTAAAAGACAAGGCGTAGGGCTACAAAAAATGGCTTCTGCTGGCAAAAAGTTTGCCCTATGTACTGGTTATTAGGGTTTCTCCGAAAGTCTCATACAAAAATTTTGAAAATTTGCGAAAGTTGGACATGGTAAAAACGAGTGGTTGTAATTTCCGGTAGATTTCTCGTCATTCTCTCAGCGAAACACAACGGGCGTTTAGCAGCTGGAAATTGGAAGAAATTTTGCATCGGATACTTCTTAAAATGTTTGTTTATCTTCATTCTAGCGTGTTTGCCAGTGAATTGAAAAAAACTGACAAAACTTTGCACTAAGAGTGTCTTTATAATTATGACCAGCACTGCATATCGTAGGTTGGCACGAAAGTTCTGTCGCACCATTTTCACAAATTCATAACTTCTGATTTTTTCAACTGATTTTACTGCCTTTATTTTTATATGAAAGAGTAAGTCATGCTCTTTATTACTTCTTACCTACCTACTAATGATCATCTGTTGCATAGATAGGAGCGATAGAAGAAAATTAGTCAAAATTCGATTTTTCTGTGTAGCGTCATAAAAAATCGGAAATTTGCTATAAACGGAGCAGTCGGTATTGTAGGTTCTTTCACCAGCTCTTTCTAACAGCGCAGAGTTTGCGCTGATTGAGCGACTCTACCAAAAGTTATGATTTCCCTGAAAAATGCCAAAATAAGTCAAATTCGCCCTTTTGCATTGCTTGCTCGAAAATCATAACTTTTCATAGAGACGCTCAATCGGCGCAAACTCTGCACAGGTAGAAAGAGCTGGTGAAAGAACCTATAATGCCAACTGCTCGGATTTTTACTGCAGGTTTCCGATTTTTTATGACCCTACACAAAAAATTCGAATTTTGTCTAATTTTCTTCCACCGCTCCCATCTAAGCAGTAGATGATCACTAGTAAGCAGCTAAGATGTCTTTATAAAGAGCATGACTTACTCTTTCATATAAAAATAAAGGCAGTCAAATCAGTTGGAAAAATCAGAAGTTATGAATTTTTGAAAATGGTGCGACAAAACTTTTGTGCCAACCTAATATATAGATTACTATGCATCTAAATTACATCCAAAACTAAATTCATGTAATATCTGGGCCTTCATTTTCAAGACTCCTATGAATCTACACTAAATCCAATTCGTATGAAGAGCTTCTTGCAGATGGCAAACCTTGACTACACTTTCACTGCAATCTGTGAATCAAATGGTTATCTCATAGGAAACCTTGCACTACACTACAACCAAAGGGGTTTTTAAATCGGGAAAACTAAGAGTCTGCAAAAGATGACTTCGCAGATGTTCTACTTTAGTTCTTTGTCTTTCAACACTAATGTTTATATCTCTAACAAGGGAAGGATACGTGATGACCGTGGCTTTTTGCAATGAAACGTACAGTACTGAATGCATCTTGAAGCACTGATTCCAAATCCGCCTATGGTATCTGCTGTGCGCTCTTCCAAAAGAAGCTATGAACACTTCTTCCCACTTCTTCCCAAATTTGCACTGTTTTGATGACAGGATTCACCTGTGTCCGCGAAATAGTCACTTTCGACTACAAAAGAGCGTCCAAAAAAATATAGCTTCACATCAAGCTCAGTAAGACTGTCTCCGACGTTTTCTTATCGAAGAAGCTTGGATACTGATGCTTCTGACTACCAGATCTCATGACATTCTAATGAAAAGAAAAATCCATAGTTTCTTTCAGAGAGTGGCACAGCAGATAATGAACGTATAATTGGAGTCAGCGTTTCAAGGCGCATATACTGGTATACATATCACTGTAAGAGGCTACGGTCATCAAGTATCCTTCCCTTGTAACTAGTTCGAATGTATGAGAGTTAACAAACTTTATTAACCTTATTTGATTTACATAGAAGTTCTCGCATCGGCCTGATATTTGAAAACATTCAAGTTTGTTAGCAAATATTTTGGTGAATTTAACCTTTTTCGCGATTTTTACAGCGTTTGTGTGAATTTAGAAAGACGCATGTATTTCAGACTTTATAAGAGGTCTAATTCTTCCACTTTCTTATCACCTCAAAATAGGCTAAGGAACACATTCTCATAAAAATCGCAATCAAAAATGTGCAAAAAGATCAAAAATGGGTTTAGTCCCAGCTCACCTTGCTGCTGAGAGCAAAATGGGCTTCCAGGTCCATTTAAAATGGGGTTAAATCCCATTTTGCCCCATTCTAAGCGGACCATTCGCATGATTGTTTCGCAAGCGAAAGCTTAGGTAGGGTTGAATCATTTTCACCGCTTTGCCTCGTGGTTGTGATGAGACAAAATTTTGAATAACGCTAGCGAAAGCAGATTCCGACCAGTTTCTACCTCGAACGAATAAAATGGGGTTTGAAAGTCCATTTTCCTCCATTATGGACTTTTGTGGATATCATACCAGAATGGATGCTTTCTACGAAAACGAAGTTCCTTCTGCAAATTTGTTAGAGAAGCTTGAACGAAAAAATTGGAATTGCCACTAAAAGAGCAGACGAAGTTTCAAGAAGTAAGGGATTTTTTATGAATATCACAAAGGTTCCTTAGGTACTTTCTAGAATGAAAGTGGACATCTTCCCTGTGTTAATGGAATCTATAGCGGAGATTTGCACCAAATTGCGCTCGTCAACGTCGCGCCGACGCTCAATTCTTTTGACGAAGTACCCCACGGATTCTACCTGTGAAGTGCGCACTGCGATCATGAAAGCGTCCAGGCTCCGAAGCCAATAGTCTGTAGAACTTCTGCGAGCAGGAGGGCACAGCTAAGACTAGGTTTTTGCAGCGCATTTCACATCTCATTTGGAAGCAAAGGGATTCCGACCAGTGGCATAGGAACACTCCTTCTCTTCAAGAAAAAAAAACTCGTCTGTTTTTGCAGTACGGTTCGTCCTAGCGGAATATGTTGCGAAATCGAAGCTGGGAGGAGTCTGTCATATCTTGAGGAAAAGAGGCGATTGATGAACTTCAAAATTGAATTCACTAACACCATTTACTGTCAGAACATTCCAAAGATGGGTGCATATCTAATCACTTTGAGCGACACCTTGCGAAGCGCCATTTGAGTTATTTGAGGTAAGCCCAAGGACTTTTTAGCAACGCACAGTTGGAGAAGCCACCGAGCAGCAGTAGAATTGTGGAAAGTGATCATCACTTTAGAACAACGAGTTATGCAGCGAACCGGTAGAGTCGTATTATCAGTAGCATGTTATTGCATACAAAATTACTCGTGAAAAAAAGGTCAGTGTAGCATGGTTCAAATACTCTGACTTGCGCTACCACGAGCACTGTCATGATGCTCAGTACGTTGTCGCTCTATGAGTATTGCTTTTAACAATGATAATGTAGAAGGCGGCACTTTAGAGATTCTTACCATACTCGCAGTGCTACCATATACCACTTCTACTATAACGTGCCGCACATATTCGCCGGAGAAGAAATCAAAAGAAATTGTGAGTTTTTACAGCAAAAAATACTCCGATCACCTAAAAAAAACTTCTTCAACTCTAGGAAAAGACGAAAAGTTTGTATTGTGCGTTCATCATGACGGAACGGTGTGATGAAGGTTACTATACTGAAGGACCTGCATGGAATGCACAAGCGGTTTGTAAACTTGCACAGTTTTTTTTTTCAGAAATTGTTAAATAATTTTGTACGATCATTTTATCTGCAGATTTCTCATAAAAAGTTACCTCGAGTCATTTGTAACTTTATATGTGATTCTGCAGACTATGCGCTGTAGCTGACGATATCCTTACTAGCAATTCCTGACTGGAACCTTTTTTGCGTAACAAACTATGGAAATGTGTTTTAACTAGCTACTTAATTAACTAGCTGCCGTCCCCGGTCCAGCCCGGGCGGAGGGTACAAAACCCCATAGTGTCCATCCATTTCAAATCATTTATGGCTTATCATTCCTCTTCCTTCAGTTATCTCTTCTTATACTGCTTCAGCTCCGAGTTGAATCGCAGCGCCGCTGTGGCATCCGTAATGAGATTGCCTTCCTTCTTGACCGCCTCGCTCCGTGACACCGCATTCTCCTCACCGCAAAATGTAAATGATCTCTACCGCCCCTTACTACTTAACTTGGAGAAATAAATGATGTAGCTTTCATTCTGCTAGATGGAAGTAAACACGATAAATAGATGGAAGGACCCAGCGAATTGTCGCGAAAAGTAGCCTATCTTCTGCGCCCTGTTTATAGGGGAGAGAATTTCAGCCTCTTCGGTTTACATACAAAGGAGTCTATACGCCACAATCATCCTTACAAACAAAGGTACAGTGTTTGAGTTATATATATATATATATATATATATATACCATTAGTACATTAATCAAATTAAATAGACAAATCAGGAGAAATCAGTGAGAGCAGGTAGTCGTACACCTCGCTAAGTAGTGCTCATGGTGTGCAATACGTATAATTAAGTCACGAATGACTCAATGATATATTGACTCTACGTGATTTTAAGGCATAGACTAGGCAATATTTAGTTCATTTTCTATGCAATAAAAGCAGCGCATCATACTCTTGTTGTTGTTGTACCTGCTAAATTGAATTCACAAACAAACACCACATGCAACGTGAATTCAATGAGGTATCAGAGTGCGAACAGTGTGCGGACACGATCGAGATATAGAGACTTCAACCATCGCGAATGTGGTCTCGCACAAGTACAAAGTCAAGACTGTAAGATCTTGCAGCGATTCTACGTCTCAGCGTGTGCCACTCATCCAAATTCAGACTGAAAAGCTTTCGTTCTCACGCTTCTTGCGCTTTCTATTACAAATTTTCGATAGCGCAGAGTATCCAAGGTACGAAATAGTTAGAATTTGAGTTTTTGCTTGGGCGTTATCTTCAAGATTGCAAAGTATGAGACGACCCGTTCAGTTTTGAGCATCACAATATTTGCCTGCTCTTTGTTGTACCTCGTACATCTACTATCTATTATATCATTAGCCAAAAAATGCTTGCGCAATAGGAATAGGTGGGCAAGAGAAACTTGCCGCTTGTATCCGCAAGAGATAGTTAAACGCACGAGCACTGTGAAGAAGATTTGGCAAGACCTAAGACCTTTTACAAGAAAAAAATACGACGATAAAAAGTGAGGTCTTTGAACAATCAGTAGTGATTATGACGCTCCGATAATCCATGGAAGGGCTTGCAAGTTCCGAGACATTCCCTCAAGTTTCCTGGAATTGTGTTCGAAGTTCAAAATAGTGATTAGGAATAAAACTGAGATATATTAGGTCGTTCCGAAAGTAATGTCGCTTTTTTCAAACGTATGCCACATCTCGTGAAACAAAGATGTGTAAGAGATTCTGGTAGCATTTGATGCAGCATGTCATTCTCTTTCTAATGATTATGAAGATTTTCCAATACAGTCAATGAGCTTCCAGGAAAGAATCAAAATCTGCGAACTTTTTGAGATGGCCAAGTTTCACAATTTTTCTAAAATTTTATAATAAACCTTAGAAGGAATCCAAGTAGTAGATGGATGGAGCAAACCCTACAGGAAACAGCACAACTTTTTTCTACTTTCCAGAGCTCGTCATAATTTTTGTACAGATTTTTTGATGGAACCACCGAATTTTAGCAGGCTCGTCTCAGACACAAGTGCATCAAACGCCAACAACCTCCGGATTCTGAAACTCACAAAGAAGGATTATGATTTGACATTAATTTTGCGAATCAAATTAGCATTCAACGCTTCAGATTAGCAACTTTCGAAATTTCCGGGTACAGCCTGGGGTGCCCTGGAAAACATGAATTATGATGTTTTTATTCCGGAAAACGTGATGAATCAGAAACAAAAAACAACGAGTAGAAACAGGAGAAAAAGCTGCATCGAATGACACCCGACTCGCTTGCCGGTTGTTGTTCTGTGAGGTTCGACTTGACTAAATATGGAATTTGATGGCACTGAGAAATTAATTGTAGAAATTCTGAGAAGCAAGCTAAGGAAAAGAAAAAATTACTCTGTGTTCTATAGTGCTAGCTCTATCTACCTGCAGCTTGTACCTTTTCCGGGATTAGGTACAAAAATATAGAAAAGTAGCCGAATTACACCATGTCAAAAAGCACGAGTCGCAGATTTTGGTAATTTCTCGAGAGCACATTGAACATTATGCAGTGGAATTAGAACCATTGAAAAAAGGATAAAATTCTGCATCGAATGCTCCTAAGATCTCTTGAAAATGTTGATTCCACGAATAGTGGCGTTCATTTGAAAAAAGCGACATTAATTTCGGAACGACCTAATAATAAGTGAAAACTGTATATACCTGTGACAATCACATGCTTTTCATCGCTTAAGCGTTGGAATCAGGTTTCATGTTTGTGGGACTAGAATGTAAGCTCAAATACCTTTGAAGCATATTAAACTGAAATTTAACATAATTAAATAGAGAAATGATCCACTTTGCAAAAAAAATTTTGTCTCACACCATATGCGAATCTTTACTTTATGAAAATCAGGCTTCTCTCTGTGAGTCCTTTTTTCAAATACTCTAGACAGTTTGCATTGTAACAGTCTCGTACATTAGAGTCAAATTGTTATTACAGAAAGCGTAGAAGCTTGTGTCGAGATGCCGTATATAAAGTAAACCCTTTTCTAACAATAAGTTGAAGTATTCTATTATTGTTTCAAAACAGGGACTTCTCTGAGCTTTCAGATGTTTCAAAAACGGTGCTGCCTGTGATATTTCCAAAAATGTGTACAGCTTCTAATTTTCTTGATTATCACTTTTTCAATTCCTACTATCATCACTTCAAACACAGTTTTGATAACTTAGGAGATTTTTTCTGGGAATTGCAGCGCCTTCCATGGATTAGCGGTGACTTCGCAATTCTTAGTGGCAATTCAAAGACCAGTTTTTTTTTCATGCTATTTTTTCCTTGCAAAAATTGAACTAGGACAAGACTGCGTCATTTATCTACTCGCACGCGTGCACCGACAAGATGTGCCCATTTGTACCCCATATCTTTCTAGAATATTTCGAAGCAAATTTGCGAAGACTTGTTCCAGCGAGGAGGTCATACAAAATTTCTTGAAGCCGTGTCATATACTCTTCGCAATGCTCGCGTTCTTAATTATCTTTTGCTGATACAAGTGGCAGGAATTTGGTTCCTTTTACTCTACATCCTAATATCAGAGGAACTTGAGATATGTCCAAAAAATTATAAGGCGCATCAGTTAGTCGATGTACAGTTAATTCACCTTTGCAGGCATTGTATAGTTGAGTGCACGGAATCAACCGGGTTGAACACCCGCGAGCATGTCTCTTGCAGTCTAACATTGACATTGTGCGCATGTGTCACTATAGCGCCAGTACTCGGCAGCCGCACTGCGGGCACGCTCACGTGCCTTCAGCCTAAAGCGATCCGGGCAATTCATGCAGTCGACTTTATCTCCTCAAATCAGACGATCCTTCTCTTCCAACAAGTTAAGCTGTACTGTCTGAATGCTATTTGTAGAAAAAAGCTAAGAATTATTCTTGAAATGCTCCGCGCAAGCTTTTCCGGTGCAAAATGTTTGACTAAATGTTTCCTTCAAAAAACGCATTTTCAAAAGGACATATCAAGTTGCAACTTTTTTGTGTCTACTTATAACAGAAAATTGACTTTAGAATAACGTAAACAACATTGGAACAGTCTTTTTCTTTCACAAGGAAGCTGCGTATTCGAGCATCGAGTGGCGCACACTTGATACATGTTCTTCCAAGCGCTTTTTCGGACATTTTTCTCCATCAGATTCTCTTTTACAAACAGATTTGCATAACGATTGTAAACTTTCTATGACCTTTTCAACAATGGTTTCCACATTTGCTCACTTTTTTGGATTTCTTCTTGTACAAAAAATTCCAAACGACCACATTTACCGGAGTTGTAATATCTATCTAATGCACAGTAAGTCTCTCAATAAACTTTTCCCCGCATATCTCGCACCTGCCGTAGATATAGCTTGAGGCCTTAACAAGCATAATGAGTAACATATTCTTAATTAGCATGCCAGATAACTCTGTGGATCAAATTTTGGCAAATTGTAAAGTTTTTAAACATGAGGCCACCCCAGTAAAAATGGTAGTTTTAAGAATAACTAGCTTTGTTCTGAAAGCGATTAAGCCAATCTGTGCTCTATACAAACCACTCCTCAGTTTTGGTCACATGAAAAAACTCACTTCAGATAACCTCCAAACTACGAAATCAGGAGGCAGTAAAAATCTTGTTTGTCCCCTTTTTCGCTTTTGAAGGTTCAAATTAATGGTGTAAAAACTAGAGGTTTAGGCTACTAATAAATGTGTATGTTCAAATGTTCGACTTTCTTTGAATCACGGCATACGTGTTTAAATATTGTTTTATATTATTGAGCCAGAACTGAAATTGCAGACTTTTATTGGCTTACGTTTCGGCCACTTCGCCGTCGTCAGAGCCTAAATGGGACGATATGCAATCCCGAACCAAAGCTTTTTAAACTACGCAAGCAAATACAAAAGCTAAAGAGTGTAGGTATCTGTCTTCTCTCAAGCGATACTCACCCTTTTTTGTTAAACTCCTTCTGCAGTAGGAATACCGCTGGACGTAGATGCACAGTGGGTGATAA